GAAGACTTAGAAACCTTTTCTTTTCAGATTAATATATTTTCATGGCATTATTTCAAAAACTCACAATGCTATGAACAACTCTGTGTCACCCCTCTTTACCTTGGTGTTGGCCTTGACAAAGAACAAAATAGGACAGACGAAAAGAGGGCTTATCTTTCATCTGTCACCAGAAGTGGACTTAGCTAGTGTCTGTTTGGGGTAAAAGAAAAATAAAATGAATCTGTGATATGCGAATGAATCCCTCAACTGTTTGTTAATGTCTACTATTTACTGAGAAACGGGACGCACCAAGCCTGTGATACATCATCTTTGTTGCGCTTGGCACCTTCCATCACGAATCGTATTAATCTGCTTAAACTAACAAGGATTAATTGCCTTGGTAAGGCAACCTGGCATTGAAATGATATATTGCCAAGACGGCTTGGAATTTGGCCACTCATAAATCTCATTTGTTTGTTGGTTTATTTCTGTTTGTCTCTTTCTCTGACAGATGTGTACCCAATCACTGCGAGCACGGTGGGAAGTGCTCGCAAACATGGGACAGCTTCAAATGCACTTGCGATGAGACAGGATACAGTGGGGCCACCTGCCACAACTGTGAGTGCCAATTTATCTTACTTTAATCTTCTAATTGCAAGAGAATCCCAGGTCTTCAGCTATGCTTTCAAGCTCAGCAACCTGAATAATCCACATACTACACCAGTGGAATCTGAAAAACCCAGATTTCACTGTCCCTCATAAAAAAAAAAAAAAAAAAAAAAAAATAGCATTCTAGTTGTCAAAATATATTCGCTCATGCCTAATGACTCAAGAAGAGGGACCAATGTTTCCAATGTTCTGGAAACACGTAGCTGAAATTGGAATGCCTAGCTTGGATTCACTTCTCTGTGTCTAAGCCATGCCTGTCTGGATAGATTGTTTGGGAAATTGTGTTAGTGTGATGTCTCTGACTGGATCCTCATTTATCAATTCATCAGAGAGGGAGACAGAGTGTAATTTGAACATTTAGTTTCTCGACAATGGGTGCCTCATGCTTTAGCTGCAGTATTTGGCTACCACCTTTTTTTTTTAGATCAGAGAAACAAATTAGAAAGTGGAAAGTCTAAAAGTTGAATATCTAAAATAAAAGCATAAAGAGGCAAAATTTGAAAAATATTAAAAATAAAAAGTACATGCAAAAATGACTAAAACACAGGTGTGCCTTATTTTACATAATCGATTTATCCCAAAAGATGAATAAAATTTCATTTTTATCACTTAAAGAATGTTATTAATTGAATGCTAACTCTATATTATAATATTAATTTTCCAGTAATGCATTGTCATTTGCAAAGCACTTTTGAAAACAAATTAGGCATAAATCATATGGTTGAGAGAAGAGGGTCATCTTTTGTGTGCATGTTGTATGCATGTATATGGGTGTGTGTATGTGTGTGGCGAGAGGAAAAAAGAGGGAAAGAGAGATTGAACCTTCTCTTAATATGCTCAAACACTAAAACTATAATATCTAAACCCTCTGATTATACAGATGGATTTCTCTTCATTTTACTTTTATGAAACAATGACAAGCAAAATATTCTCAGAGTAGAGCCTTGGGGACAGTAAAAATGCTATGCAGCTCTCTAAGCCTTTCCACACTCTTATTTGTAGTAATGTGCAATAAGAAATCATGTTTAGAATGTATTGTAAGACCTCAACTAAAAAAAATGTTGCACACATTAATTTGATTAGGTGAATATTCAAAAACAAGAGGCAAAGGAGATCTTAGAAAAATTTACATTAATGGGAAGATGTACAAGAGGGTCAAAACAGACAGACACTTAATAGATGCATTATCTGTATTTACATCCACTAAAATATTTCAATGACTAAAGAACAAAAATAATTGATATTGAAATTAATTAAATGAAAGGAATTATAACTAATTTTTTTTTCCTTACCATCACACCAAAATGTTAACTTTCAGTATACGATATTCATTATATAAAATGCAATGCTCAAATTAGGTAATTTTGATAAAAGTAGGTACCTTCACTCCACGAGTATAATTCATATCATGTGTTATAAATTCCATGTTTGATTACACGGGCTCATGTCAAAGAGCAAGCAATCAGTGGTGGTTACAAGGATTTCCTATCTCAGTGACCACTTTGATATTGAATCAAAAAGCAAATTATTCTTTTTTATAGCTGTTTCCATTATTAAAATGCACAGTAAAGAGAAAGACAACATTTAAAAAATATACGCTACTGGTTGAACAGTTGAGTTTTTGTGCTTTTGTTTTTTTAAGAGTAGTGACTCCAAG